ATGGACTTGTGGGTGTGGGGGCAAGATCATGAACTTTAACTTGGGTGGGGAAAACTGAGAAGCTTCAGATTCAGGTTTTCCCAAATGGTTCTCTTAATAAATTGGAACTTTGAGAACACGTTGCCTTGGACTCTGATTTAATTTGGGATGCTATCTGGAACTCTGACAATATGCACCAAAGACAAATTCCTTGTGTGTCCAATCACACTTGGCCAATAAAGAATTCTATTCTATTCTATTCTATTCTATTCTATTCAAGCGTTCTCACCTTGCTTCATTGCCAAGGCTGGACCTCTACTATCAAACTATGAATGTTTGCTAGACTAATGCTAACGATAGTCATAGTCTTACCATCAAGGCGGAGAAGGGGAGAACAGTGGCTTGCTTACCTTTCGGATTCCTGTACCACCAGGGCTCGCTCTAGCTGCTCCCGTCCAGCCCCTGTTGGCAATCCTTGTGCTGAAAGCACAGCCCCGTTAGGAAGGGTCAACTGTGGGCCTGCGCTATCAATACCTGGGCCCCCAAAGCCCACCGTATCGTCTGGTGGGTGTTCAACCCCAGAGCCCCCACGCATCCGAGCACTGAGGGAAGAAGGCCAAACAGAGCAATGAGGAAAATCCCAAGTTAAGAAATCGCAATGTTGTCATACAGGTAGTCCTCAACCTACGACCACAATTCAGCCACCAATTTCCGCTAAGCAAGACAAGGAGGTGAGTTTTGCCTTATTTCACAATTTTCTTTGCCACGGTTGTTAAGGGAATCACTGCCGTTGTTAAGTTAGTAACACGGTTGTGAAGTGAATCTGGCTTCCCCCCTTGACTTTGCTGGTCAGAAAGTCACAAAAGGGGATCGCATGACACCCACCCACCCCCGGGACACTGCAATCGTCATAGATATGAGCCAATTGGCAAGAGTCTGAGTTTTGATCGCGGGATTATGGGGATGCTACCAAAGTCTGTAAGTGTCGAAAACGCTCATATGTCACTTTTTCCAATACTTTGAATGGTCACTAAATAAATGGCTGTAAATCGAGGACTACCTGTATGTGGTGGCATCTTCAGCTAGAGCAGTGATGGCTGACCTTTTCGTTGCTGCGTGCCAAAAGAGCACACATGTGCACCCATAGTGTAATACACACACGACCTCTATGCATGCACCCTGAACAATGCCCCCCCCCCATGTCTGCCTCCCATGCATGCACACGCATCTCCCGCATGCACCCCACGGTGATGGGGTGCATGCGGGAGAAGGGCGGAGAAACGGAGGCAGCAGTTACGGAGACAGACTCATAAGAGATAATCAAGCCCAGGTGGTTGTGGCTTGGCCCCTCCAAAGAGAGTATTTAAGAAGTGACTTTGGGAGGAGTCCTTTTGCAGGACACAACTGTTCGTAATAATCTGGAGAACTCCAGATGTACAATTTGGATCT